GCTAGGAAGTTGACTTGATTTATTTGTAAAGTTCCAGTTCATGGTTTTATAAAAGTTTTAAGGGGTAGTGTGTTTCAAGCACAGGTGTCTTGTCTTGGCTGCTGTCTTTCTTTCCTTCAGATGGGAAGGGATCTTTAGTGTTATCTCTCTTGCTCTGTGTAGCAAATTCATCCACATTCACCATGCAGACTCGTACTTCTTAAGGTCTGATGTTGATGAATTCATGTCTTCACCCATATGTACCTGATGGAAAAGGAAAAAAGAGCAAAACACTTGAAAATGAGATTGGCTTGGAGACCCTTTGCCTACTTTTTTGATTTGAAACAGAATTCATTAAATTCCTTGGTGATTTGAAATTGACCAGGGCAAGCCCTGAGGGTCCTCTTCAATTGTGGTTCTTTTTATTATTATTATTATTTTTTAGCAACTTTGTCTCATGCAGAACCTCAGAGCAGACAAGTCATGGTGGGTCAGGAGTGACCCTCTTAATTCAGGTTCCCTGTGACCTCTGGCTCGTAGTGATAATTCATGGAGTGCAGCTGGGAGTGTCCATGCCTGGGAGTTTTTGCATATGACGTTATTTATTTCCCCTCTTTCTAAACCAGGTGAGCTTTTGGGGTTAGACAAAAAGTGGTACACGGATTTCGTGTCTATGTCTGGAGTCCCATTTGGAAACCAATCTCCTTGGAAACTAAGTGAATATGCCTTAATCATTTTTGTGCAATCAACTCACCTGGGCCTACCCCAACCTCCCCTCCCCTGAATGCAGATTCCTGGATATGTACAATTCTCTCTCTCTATTCTCTTTGCACATCAGCGTTTTGACAGCTGGTCTTTTGATAAGTCAGTATCATTTCTCTCTCCAGTAAGTCCCCTCCTTCACGGTCCCTTGCATAATGAAACAGAGGCTGTTGGCCTGTGAAATTCCAGGGCACAACCTCAAAACAAAACCAAAACAGTGTTGTAGGTTATTGCTCGTTGCTGCCAGCAAAATTCTGGTGAACACAAAACCTCATGGTGTTTGGGATGTTGGGGGTTTCAGGTAATGCTGACTTGCTATTTCAGGTTGTCTTGGATTCAGGAAAGGGATAATTGGGTGGAAATGTTTTCTGGGGCGGGGATGGGGGAAAAAACTGAGTCATATGTTTTCAGAAAGACATGTTTTCCTTGGTGCATCCTGGGGAGCAAGACTGGAGTCAGGCAAGAATAGAAAGGAACATAAGGCCCCGACTATTACAAACCAAGCAAAGAATTTGGGATGACCAACTATGTGATTTTTCCTAAAGGAACCCTCAGCTGCTCACATCCAGAGCTGACAGATGCCTTGTGAGTTCACACTGTAAAATTGTTCATCCGAATGCCCCAGATTGGCACATTCTCAAAGCTCAAAACCTGCAAGTATTCCATCAGAGTGCCTCCAAAACAGCTGCTTTCTTAAAGGTGGGTTAGGCCTTCAGGGAAGACCCAAGAGAGAATATGACTTCCTGGGGGGAGGAGACTCTCAAGCTGGCCTCACCCTCACCCTCTGCTGCGTGTCCCTCTCTGTCCCTGCGGCCCCACCCCCATGACCCTGTCCAGTCGCATAGAAGCCAGGTTACCTTTGTGCAAATCAGCATTTCTGGGTAAACGTTAGTAGAGGTAGGGAGGCAGGAGAAAGGCTCTACCCAGGATGCCATGGGACTTTTGTTTCCCTGCCTTAACACATGGTGGGGGCTGGGAGAGGTGTGCACATTCAGAGGTGATAGAAGGTGGTCTACATCCATGCAGTAGCCTGCCATGGCTTAGACATCTAAATGGGGTGAGGGAATAGTTCCCCAGTAGGTAGAGCTTTTCTCTTGTCCCCCTAGTTCTACTGAAGTTTGAAAGGCTGAGCAGCTGCTGGGAGTTGCCCCACTAGAACTCAGTGCAGGCCAAGGCTGTGGCTGCATAGAACCATCTAGAAGGCAAACTGGCTTGAGTATGTGGCGTTATAGCCAGCCCATGTCTGAAAGTGCCCCCATCACCCTGCTTAAGGGTCCCACTCCCTCACCTCTTCTCCCATGCAGGCGTTGGGGCGGGGCGAGAGGGAGCAGAGATCCAAGCTTTCAGCCTTTATCCCTTAACTTCCCAGCACCCCCTTCTTAACCAGCTACCTTTGCACCTGCACCTTAACATCTGAGATGCAGACTGGCACTGCTGTTGGCGAATAATGCCATTGGCGAAAGACTTTGAGCTCCTAAATGATTTCCTTCCACACTGCCTTAGAGAATCTGTAAATCGAGGCTCAGCAAAAGGAATCTATCATGTTAGGGATGGTATTTAGTCCTAAATATCAGTGTCCCTACAAGTCCTCTACTTCCCAGAAGATTATGGGCCTTGGAATGCTCTGTAAGATTGTTGGGGGGTGGGGTCGGGGTGGGATACATAGATAAATAGCTGTGGTATAACTTGTCCTGACCATTCTTCTGGGTTCCTTCCTCAGTCATGATAAGAAAGGAACTTGAGTTCTATGGGTTAGGAAAACTTAACCTCTTGCCTGCTGGTGTTCTTGCAATTGCCTTATGAATTCACAAGCTCTAGGAGTGGTGGGAGGAGGGGGAATTTATTCAAGCCCAGGAAGCATCCTTAATCATATGAGTGGTCATTCATTTATGAAAACCTATATTTTTAATGTTAAAAAAAGCACTAGGGCTTCCTGGGCCTCACAGAGTGTATTGTATGTCGACAAGTACTTTTATATTTTCTAACTGTAAAGAGGTTTCATATACACAGGAGTGCAGTTGGACAGCTAGTTGGCTGCATTCGAACAGGTTGACCTTTGCATGTTCAAAGATGATATTGCATTCAGACTATGAAAAGAACAAATAAAGCTTTAATGCAAGCTGCATTGGAGAACACGGTGTGTTGGTGTGTGCGACTGTTTCTCATGTCTATAGGCCCCTGCCCCACAACCCTGTCACTGGCCTTGTGGCTCTCTTGTCTGGCCAAACTGTGGGCTGGGAAGAGGGAAGGAAGCTGGATTTCTGGGAGCAGATACCTAGCAATCCCAGATCATGGGAAAAAGGCAGGGATTTGATCCCTGTTTTCTCACTTCTCAGCTGTGTCTTTTGAATATAAAATAGGGGTGATAATATGGCTAGGGGCTCAGCAGCTAACTGGAAGGCTGGCAGTTCTAGGCAATTCTGGGTAGAAGCATCTCAGAAGAAAGACCAGGCAATCTACTTTATAAAAACCAGCTTTTGGAAACCCTCTAACACACATGGATCAACTTGAATCAACTGACTTGATGACAACTTAAGGCATTTTCCATTGGTACAAGTTGCAGGGATGCTGTTGGCATCTGGTGTGTTGAAGAGAGGGATGCTGCTAACTGTCCTACATTAGACACACTGTCTGGATAAGGAAGACTTGCCCAGCTTCAAATGCCCCTCAATGGCCGGTGCAGATGCTCAGCGCGGATTGCATGGGAGGGACTGACTTCTGATTCCCTCTCCCTACCTCTGTCTTTCTCCTGTAACCCCAGCAGGTGGCGCATTCATACCAGGTAAAAGGGGTCGAAGCCAACTGCTCTCTGAACTTCAACAGCGTGTAAGGTGCCCTGGTGGTGTGCTGGTCACGTACTTGGCTGCTAACCTAGAAAGCTGTTCTACCCTGTCATATAGGGTCAGGGCAGTGGGGTTTTGTAGTTGTTTTTTCTGTTTCTTGGTGGTGGTGGGTGGAGACGGTTATGAAGACACACTAAAGCTTCATTGTGTGGATGTCCATTGATGGATGGGACATCCAATGGGTGGATTTTCACCCAATTTGGAGGGTATATTTGGGGTGACCGCTAACAACAATGTCAGCCATTGGCACCTGGGACATTCACTTGGAGGAGTTCTAGGGTTCCTCCTATAAGATCTGGAGTCTTTTCCAAGGGTGTCATGCACCCTGGCAGGAAGATGGCTGCATCAATAAGCCAAAAGATTGGAGTTGAAGTCCTCTGGACATCCTTGCCCCGTGAAGCCCTCTCATCCGAGGTCCCAGAGGTCCCTCTGCCCTGGAAGTCATCAGAGGCTGTGGCTTTGGAGACAGAGCCACGGGCCTTACTGTTAGGATGACATGGCCCGAATGGAATTGGGTGGACAGGGCGATGTCTCAGCAGGTGGGGTGTGCTGAGCTGTCAGAAAGTTCCCATAAATAGGGCCATCCTTGTGAGTCAGGCCACATCTGGAGAAGGTTCTGGGCCCTCCACTGTCCTGCCCATGGAGGGATGGAAGCAGGGAGGCAAGAGCTGCCCAAGTGGTCCCAGGCTTTGGTGGTTTTCATCCATAGGGGAAGCATAGCTAGTCCTGCAGAAGCCTGGGGTCCACTTGGGAATGAGCTGAGCAAGATGGAGGTGGGGGTCTGGGAGCTGTGGCTGCACGTCACAGGGTGGTGGCAGGGTCTGAGCCATCAGACATGAGTGGGAGGCAGACACTTGAGAGACTGGGCAGTCTGAGAAAGGGCAGTAGCCCCACCAAAGCCCTCGTGCCTACTGAGGCTCTACAAACCTGTGGAGCATTGCTGGGCCTGTGGGCAGAGTAGGTGGACTCTGGGCTGTGTAGCCAGTGTGGGGGCACCCAGTGAGTGTGTGAATGTAAACAGTGTGTGCTGTGCACCACTGTGGGTGTCTGAAATCAGCAGGTGTAGCACAGAGGGAGACAGACTGTCCTGTCCTGCGTGACTGGGGGTGGGATGTGACGACAATGACCATGGGAGCCCACTGAGTGTATGAGTATATGTTCATGTGTGTGTGAATGCCTATGTATATGTGGGTATGTATGTCAGTGAGACTGCAAGTGTGTCTGTGTATGTATATGCACATAAGTGATTGGGCACATGTGACTGTATGTGTCTGTGTGTCTGTGCATATGTGTGAGTGTGCTCAGTGGATATTTGTTGAGTGACCTAATGTAGGTCTCAGGGTGTCCTGGACTCAGCAGCTTGTCCTCAGCTCGGATCCCCTTGACACACTGTTTCTTTCGGGAGTTCCTGGAGAGATGGCAGAGTTGCATGCAGTACTGGAAGAGCACAAGAGCCATGGCGGCCTTGGTGGCAGTTATAAAGTACTGTCCAATGATGAGTCCAGAGGCTCTGAGCTCATGGCCACCTCCTGGGACTCATGCCAGGTGTGGCCAGAACAGTAGATCAGAAAATTCCTCCAGCTGCAACCCCTCATTCCCATTTCTCAGCTTACTTCCCTGCCTCTCTCTTCTCTGCCCATGTCTGAAAGCTGGAGGTACTCCCCTGCACCCCATCTGTCTTCACAGCACAGAAGCCCTACAGTGTGCCAGGACACATGGCTTCTAGTTCCGATTGCTTCCTGACCACGGCCCACCTTCATGGCCTTTTTGGCACCTCAGTAGACCCATCTTTAAAATGGGAATGGTGTCCACTCCTTAGAAATCAGAGTTGACATATGAGAACCAACAAATGTGCTGAATACAGCCAACACACAAAGGAAGGGGCTTGAGAGAGCACAGGAAAATTTTGATTTGTGGATTCTGCCCTGGATGATGCAAAGGGATTAATATTCACTGCTACTAACTCAAAGGTTGGAGGTTTGATTCCACTCAAAGGTACCTCAGAAGAAAGGTCTGGCAATCAATTGCTGAAAAGTCAGCCATGGAAAACCCTGTAGAGCATAGTTCTACTCATAGCACATGGAGTTGACATGAGTTTGTTTTCTCTTTCTAAACCATCCCTAGGGGGCCTTAATCTTGGTTGGGGTCCAAGGCTAGAATGACCAAGGGGATGAATAGGGAAGAGGTCATTCTCAGGATGTCCTGGAGTGTTGGCTGAGAGTGGAGGAGCCAGGCAGGAGGCCGAGAGGCAGAGGAGCAAAGGGGCTCTTGCAATAGTACCTGGTTGGCCCAGTGACCTCCGAGGGCCTTGCAGCTCTGAAATGCCAGGATTTGACAAGTTCTGGGAGCAGCTGTCACCCTTTCCTGCTCACTTTGCCTTCTGTGGGCTGTTCCTCATCCAAACCAGTGAAGGAGAGAAAAGAGCCAGTGATTTAAGTGTGGATCCAGGGATCTGCCAATCTTTCTGTGCAGCCCCTGGTAAGTTCCTTCTCCTCTCTGAGCCTCATTCATCCCTTCTGTAAAATGACAAGATCTGGCTTCTATAGAGACCTTCTGCAAGGACAGTTGTGTTTCCAGGCAGGTGAGGGACCTTTACAAAGTCCCTTACTCCCTTAGCATGGTGTTTGTTTTTCCTACATGGAATTTTTAAGTAGAGATGGCTAACATTAAGGAAAATGGGGATTTCAGACTTTGGGGGGGAAAGTTCAGATCTGGATCCATGTTCTCTCATGGATTTGATTACCCTAGTTTTCTCGTGCATCAGTTCATTCTATTAGGTTTCCTGACTGGCTCACCACAGTTAACTTGGTTGAATTGAGATTCTTGGATGCATTTCCCGTTGAAGACACTAGGGAGCAGTGTAGACAAACAGCGGCACTAACTGCAGCTCGTCCAAAGTAGAGCGGATGGAGCAGCTAGTACTGCCAAGGGTGGAGCGTGCAGCTTGGGGCCTGGCCCGTGGGCTGGGGAGATGCTCGGGACTTGAGCTGGCGAACTTTCTAGGCAAGCGGTGAGAGCTCTCGGCCGATTGATTGCCCCAACCTAATGGACAGCCTGTTGGAGAAGGTGGGCTCATCCACATGGAGTCAGGCTTGTGAGTACCTGAACTCCCACCCTCCTCCTCATACCCCGTTGGAGTCCTAAATCTACTGTGGGGTCTTGGGCAACTCCCTTCCTCTCTCAGGCCTCAGTTTCCCTATCTGTAAAATGAGACAGTTGAAAGTGATTCCCTAAGAATCTTTGGAGTTTTGGATTTCCATGCTAAATAGCAGGGTTCTGCAAAAAGAGACCAAAGGTAGTGTACCTGGCAGCTAGTTCAGAGCTTAGCAAGTGGGATTTGGTTGTTATCATTGTAATCATAACTGTAGCAGTTAATATTTACTATATGAACATTTTACATACCATTATTATTATTCCCATTTCACAGATGAGGAAACCGAGGCCAGGCCAGTTGAGCTCTGAATTCTTAGGTGATCTTGGGCAAGTTGTTTGACCTTCTCGGCCTTTGTTTTCTCATCTGTCAAATAGGGTTAATAATAGTTGCTAGCTCAGAGAATGTGTTTGTAAAAATGTTTGGAAGGATGCATATAAATAAGTAAATAAGTAGTAGTAAAAATATAATAATGTTGTTGTTGTTAGGTGCCATTGAGTCAGTTCCGACTCATAGAGACTCCATGCACAACGGAACAAAATGCTGCTTGTTCCTGTACCATCCTCACAATTGTTACGTGTGAGCCCATAATTGCAGCCACTGTGTCAGTCCATCTCCTTGATGGTCTTTCTCTTTTTCGCTGACCTTCTAGTTTACCAAGCATGACATCCTTCTCTAGGAACTGGTACCTTCTGGTAATATGCTCAAGTACTTGAGACGAGGTCTCACCATCCTCACTGCCAAGGAGCTTTTTGGTCTGTATTTCCTCTAAGACAGATTTGTTTGTTCTTCTGACAATATAGTCAGTATTCTTCACCAACACCATAACTCAAAGGGACCAATTCTTCTGCAGTCTTCCTTATTCAGTGTCTGGCTTTGGCATACAGATGAAGCAATTGAAATGACTTGGTTAGGCCATTATTATTACTAACACGAATAAGTAAAGTCTGCAGTATACTTACTGTGTGCCAGGCATTCTGCTGTGGACTTTGCTGGGTGTCCCACTCAGAAGCCAGACGTACAATAGAATTTTGATACTATTTCCCAGGATGCTTTCTGGCTGAGAGTCTCAGACAATTCCCAGGGTGCCACAGTGGCTCCTCTATTAATAGGTCCAGGAGTCAGCCATAGGGTTAGGTCCTTCCCACACTAGACTTGTATTTTCCCTCAGCTGCAGCAGCAGGCACCTTGGTCTCTTTCCTCCCTTAGGTGGCTGGGATTTGAATGCAGGGACTTCCATGTGGAGCAGTTTGTCCTGGAGAAGGGGGGTTACCCTCATTAGGACACCTGGTCCAATAGCCACCACAGTGACAGCTTCCTGTCCCTCTGGCCTCTTCTTGTTGTAAGTACGGTTCCTGCTCACCTCTGGAGGCTCCTAGAGGCAGTGCATGGTGGGAGCTGCTCAGGCAAGCTCAGGCAAACAGACTCGGCTGGGCCTGTGTGAACCAAACCTGAGGAGGACTCTCGGTCTTTCTTACCCAAAGGATTGCTTTAGGAGAAGAAAAAGTTGTTACTAATGAATATAGGCCTGGGGGTCAGGGCCCCTGGCGTTCACATCATGAATTAGGTCCCAGGATGTGATGCTTCCCTTTGTAATAGACTGAAATCACAGTCACCTAGCCAGTGACATCAGCATTGCAGTAAACAAATAAACAAACAACAAAGCAGCCCAGAAATAACTTCAGAAACTGATTAAAAAGGAACTACAAAATAGTGTAAGTTCGTCACTTGTGTTTCTCAAACACAATCCACAAGGACCTTTAAAATACCTCTCTTCACCTGGGGACTCTTAGGCCCAGAGTCAGTGACATAGCCACAGAGGACTAGAGTGGAGAGTGAAGCATCCAGCTGATAAGAAGAGAGGGCATATGCACAAGAACACCCACACTTGCAGATAATGCCCACTTGACCTGGTTTCAGTGACTGGGATGATCAGAGCTCAACTAAAAGAAGAATTTTAGAAGAGGAAAAAAAGTGTAATCTGATACAATTTGATGAACTTGACCTACACCTGTGGATGCAGTAGCTCAAAAGAGGGAACAAATCTTTACAGCAAGGATCATTCCCACCCCCTCCATACACAGAGTAGACAGCGATGGGCAACTTGGACATTGGCTACCCAAAATAGGGGACTTCAAAGGCAAGAAGTGACTGGCTTACAAGCTTTCAAGAGGGAACCTAGATTCAGAGGGTGTGAAGGAAGGTAGGATCTCCACTGAGTAGTATCCAATCTGTCTAGGCAGGGCTGATGAAATGAAATGTGGATGGGTCTCTTGTGATACAATAGTGAATAATTGTTATCAGAACTGCTTGTGAGGGTTGGAAATGTAAAGGTAGATGTTTTGTAGCAAGGAGGGGAGTGATTAACTTTTCAGTCTAGTACCGGAGGTCCCTGGGACCATCAAGGGAGAAGAGCGGAGAGCGGGACCCTACCCAGAGAAGCAGTGATGCCTGAGATGGAGGCAGAGACGATGAGGTAGAGAGATGGAGCCGCTGGGGATTTTAGACCCAGAGAGGGAGAGGGGCTGTGTGCTGACGACCGGGGGGCAGGTTTGCAGTGTATACCCTTTGGTTGGTTGATAATGCATGGAGGGGATTGTAACCATGGCAGTGAAACCATATATGATAGGATGAATGTAAAACTAATGCTCTCCCATGTAAACTATCACATAATTCACAATAAAACATTTTTTAAAAAACAAACCTCTCTTCTCCCCATCTGGAGTCCTGGCGTGGCGCTGTGGGTTGATGTGCTGGACTGCGAAGCCAGTTTGAATCACAAGGTCTGCGGGTCAAGCTCGCCAACTGCTCCTCAGAAACCCTACACAGGATCATTATGGATTGGAACCGGCTCAACGGCACTGAACAGCAACTCCACCACTTGGTTCACTTACACACACTTTCTCCTCCACAAGGAATCCAGGTGGTGCTATGGGTTAGGCATTAGGCTAACCACAGGATCACTGGTTCAAACCCATCAGATGCTCCTTGGGAGAAATGCGGCTGTCTGTTTCTGTAAAGACTGTCAGTCTTAGCTACCCTAAGGAGCAACCCTGTCAGCTTGCTAGGAGTTGGAATCAGCTCCACGGCAGTGGGTCTCCTCCTCACAGCACAAAAACTGACCTCTTCTGAAAGGACAAGGAAAGGGGACAGCTGGGCAGATGAAATCAGAACCCACTTTAGTAAAGAGAGAACACTTACATAGTAACAATCTTGGTTCTCTTCTTCCCTCTCTGAGCCTCAATTTCCCTGTCTATAAAGTGGGAATGGACACGATTTGAAAGACCTCCTCTTGCTTCATCTGTGATTGTAGACTTCTCTAATTCTTCACTCTAATTCTCGTAGGTGGTCTGTGTGTGTGTGATTCTGGAGCCTCTGGGAGCAGCTAGTTCACCCCACAATCTTGACCCCAGGATGATCTGGACTACAAGTTGCACCTCTTAGAAAGCTCAGCTTTCAGTGGCTGCAAGATGGAGACAGTGGAAGATGACATGCCCAGCCTCTAGGCTCACGACTTCTAGGACCAATCAAGCCATTAGTGGGATGTAAGGACCCCATTCTTGACCCTTCCTCTGGCCACACCTCTGGATCTTAACAGAATCACTGAGGTTTCTCACATGGTTGACATTTCCTGCTCCTTCAAACCTGGAAGGACCTTCACAAGGCTGCCCCATGATCCTAGATCCCCCATGATGGGACTGTCCAATTGCTTGCACTCCTGAACCATTGGGATTTCCACACAGCTTTGACTCATAGAGAGCTTTATCCTTTTGTTTTTGATCAAATGAATGTTTTTTTTTACCTCTGCTTGTCTGAGTCTTCACTCCTTTTCTGAACACACCCAGTCCAATTGTTTCTTGACATTTTTTTGTTTTTTGACTCTATCCTGGTCCTTCTTACCAGGGGTTCTAAAATGTACGCCTTTCTCTAGATGTGGTCCAAGTAGTACATCACCTCCCTCCTAGGCTTAATGCCACTGTTAATATGACTTGAGGATTATCTTCCCTTTGTGATTGTATTTCACTATGCTCTGGTGAAATAATGGGTTACATTTGGACTGTTAACTACAACATCAGCAATATGAATCTATCAGTCATTCCTCGGGAGAAAGATAAGAAAGATTTACAGCTTCAGAAATCCTATGGAGAAGATCTATTTTGTCCTGTAGGGTCAACCATGAGCCAGAATTGACTTGGTGACCAAGGGGGTCTCTTTTTTCAGTATGTTTGACTTGTGGACTTGTGTTCTGGAGCTAGGCTTTGAGAGATGCCACTTCTTGAAAAGAATCCATTGATCCATTTTTACTAAGCATCTACCATGTATAAGCTACGGGAACACAGTGGGGTGGGGATTAATAATCACACAGCCTCTCTACCCTAAGAATTTCCCAGGTTGATAGGGAGATAGACAAGGAAGCAGGTCTTCACTTTTCATTGTGTACAGGAAACTCCAGAGGAAGTGCTTGACCCAGCCTAGGGGAGTTGGGAAGGCTTCCTGGAGGAGGATATATTTGAACTAAGATGGAAAATATGGGAGTGAGAGAGGGAATAGTGTTCCAGGCAGAAGGAACAGCACATGCAAAGACTCAGAGACACAGCAGTTTCAAGGAAAACAATGAAAGGTCGAAGTTGAGGGCTTGAGCAGTGGTAGGAGATGGAGCCTTTGGGAAGGATCTTGTGAGCATTATTAGGAGTTTAAATTCATTCTGAGGGTACTGGGGAGCCAAGGAGGACTTCAGACAGGGCTAGGGCATGGTTAAATGCTGGATTTTAAAAGCTAGGTCTGGCTGAAGATGGGGAGGCTTTTCCTTTCCTAACCCTGGCCCCCCGCTGCAGGTGGGTCAGCTACCAGTTCCCTGATTACCGTGGTCGCCAGTATGTGTTCCAGCGGGGAGATTACCAGCACTGGAAAGAGCGGGCTGCCAACCAGCCACAGCTGCAGTCTGTATGCCGCATCCACCGCCAGAAGTGGCACAAGCAAGGCTGCTTCCTTAGTAGCGGAAGGATGCCCAGGTCCCAGCAGCCTCACCCCACCCCTAAGGGACAACACAGGCAACAAGAGGAACCTGCAGGGTAGAGCAAGGGTCTGCCTTTCCATCCTTTCCTGAATCTGCTCAATAAAATCTGGGGTCAGTCTCCCTACCTGAAAGATCCTCTGTGTCACTTTACTTCCTTACAAGGAGAGGCAAACTGAAGGGGCTGCAACTTGGAGATACTAAGACTCTTAAAAAGGGCTCAGAGCTAGACTCATACCCAAGACTCAAGTCCTTTCAGATAGAAAACCACACATGTCTCCTGCCCTAATTGTGCCCACCTGAATGTGTGTCCATCCATCCATCCATTTTATTTATCCATTAAACCATTCATTTATCCATCCATCTGTCTATCCACCTATCCATCCATTTATCCATCTGTTATTAATCTATCTATTCATCCATTAATCTATCTATCCACCCATCCATTCATTTATCCATCCATACATGCATACATTATCTATTCATCTATCCATTAATCCATCCATCCATTAATCTATCTATCCATCCATCCATTAGTTTATCCATCCATTCATCCATCTATACATCCATTGATCTATACATACATCCATTATCTGTCCATCCATCCATCCACATGTATAGATACCCTATACATTGATCCTTCTTTTCTTCTTTCATTCCTTCTTTCCTTCCATTCAG